CAGACAACATCACCTGCCTCTAGGCTAATGGGCGGGGCTAACCTGTGATGCTGTGATATGCCCTAGGGTAGGCCCATTAAATGTTTTTTCAATTTAAGATATTTGCAACTCAGGTAGGAGGTTAATGGAACATATAACCCTATCTGAAATCAAGGGGCACCTGTAGTTGCCTGTGAGACGAAACATGGAAGGCTCAGGACTTAATTCTTTAATCTCTTTAATGTGTCAAAGATTTCCATCAACATGCAAAATGTTACTTAGCTAAACTTGTTATAAAATTATAAACTGAATCACAACCATAGTTGAGTTTGTCACTGTTACATATCGGAAAATACTTAAGTATAATACTATACTTTGCCAAGGGGTGTGCTCTTGTATAGGTACACACATTTACTGAGGACTTTCTGAAAAAAAAATTATTTTCCTGATCCTGGAATTATCTGCATATACTTAGAGAATGCTACTCCATGGTCCACACAACTTAAGAAAAAAATGCTTAAATATGCATCACTTCCTCTCAGTAGTGGCACCATTTCTGAAATTCCTACACAAGTGCTTAAAGGTCTGAGGTATCTGGCTTCCATTATTGAGGAAAACGAAGGGCACATGTCTTCCAAATATTTCATGGACCTTACAAGGTCCTTTATTTTGAAATTCCACTGTGCTGTCAAAATATCTCTGAGAAGTCTTTTCAATGGTGATACATGTTTTTCAAAATCAGAAATATGCAAGATGAATTTTTTATGAACAAGGCTGCTCCTTTAATGTTGACAGGACAAAAGGGAGCCACAACCTTAAATCTCTGAATGTCCACATCTGTCTCCTGCCTTCCCTCAATCCCCTCCCAAAGTGTAAGAACTCGAACTCACTGAAGTTGGGGTATATCATAAAGCTTCTATTATCTGGAAAAGTGTAACCAGATTTGTGCTTCTTTGGAAGGCTATACTGAAGGAGTGACAGTGCTCCTTTGGTTAGTCATAATCTATTAGCATCTGGGACGCAAACTTTCTCTTCCTTCTGCTCTCCCTCCTGGTGAAGGGAACCAGGACCTGAAGCCAGAAAATTGGGAGTGAGCATAGCATTGCCTGAGCCTTGTCCTCAAGCCACTCCACCTCCTTAGACATCATTACCTTCTCCTTCCCCAGTGACTGTCCTTCCATCAGTACCTGCTGCTTCCCCATTGACTGTCCTTCCATAAATATCTTCTGCTTCCATAGTGACTGTCCTTCCTTCAGTATCTTCTGCTTCCACAGTGACTGTCCTTCTATCAGTACCTTCTGCTTCCACAGTGTCTGTCCTTCCATCAGTACCTTCTGCTTCCCCAGTGACTGTCCTTCCATCAGTACCTTCTGCTTCCTCAGTGACTGTCCCTTCTCATCAGTTCTTCTGCTTCCAAGGTGATTGTTCCTTCCCTTCGGTACCTTCTGTTTCCACAGTGACTGTCCTTCCATCAGTACCTTCTGTTTCCACAGTGACTGTCACTTCCATCAGTAGCTTCTGCTTCCCCAGTGACTGTCCTTCCATCAGCACCTTCTGCTTCCCCAGTGACTGCCCTTCCATAAGTATCTTCTGTTTCCACAGTGACCTTCCATCAGTACCTTTTTCTGCCCCAGTGACTGTCCTTCCATCAGTACCTTCTGCTTCCCCAGTGACTGTCCTTTCATCAGTACCTTCTGCTTCCCCAGTGACTGTTCTTCCATCAGTACCTTCTGCTTCCCCAGTGACTGTCCTTTCATCAGCACCTTCTGCTTCCCCAGTGACTGTCCTTCCATCAGTACCTTCTGCTTCCTCAGTGACTGTCCTTCCATCAGTACCTTTTGAGTCCCCAGTGACTGTCCTTCCATCAGCACCTTCTGCTTCCACAGTGACTATTCCTTCCATCAGTATCTTCTGCTTCCACAGTGACTGTCATTCCATCAGTATCTTCTGCTTCCATAGTGACTGTCCCTTCCCATCAGTTCTTCTGCTTCCACAGTGATTGTCCCTTCCCTTCGGTACCTTCTGTTTCCACAGTGACTGTCACTTCCATCAGTAGCTCCTGCTTCCCCAGTGACTGTCCTTCCATCAGCACCTTCTGCTTCCACAGTGACTGTTCCTTCTATCAGTAGCTTCTGCTTCCCCAGTGACTCTTCCTTCCCATCAATACCTTTTGCTTCCCCAGTGACTGTCCCTTCCAATTAGTACCCATCAGGTACTTTCTGCTTCCCCAGTGACTGTTCCTTGACTTTTTATTCACTATCCTTGCCCTTCATGTGTGTGCACATATGTACATGCAGACAACATTTATTTTGGAACTTCTGAAAAAAAATATTTTTCTGATCCTGGAGTTATATGCACATACTTGTTTGGAATTGTCATCTCTTACATGGCCCACATTAACAGTCTCAATTAGGGGGCTCTGAAGAGCTTATAATCTTCCGCTCTACCCAACCACTGCTAGCAGCCAGAGTGATCATCCCACAATAAATATGTTACTCCCATTCCCTGAGCACCAGGAGTTTTTCCCTGCAGAATCAAGTCCAGGCTTAGCAGTAAGAGGAAGAATCCCATAGTCCAGCTCGTGCTTATCTCTCCAGCCCTGCACCCAGCTATTCTAACCACAGGACAACCGTCCTCCCATTTGCTGGTTCCCTGTCTTACCAGCTTACTGTGTGTACTATATGACATGCCCTGAACCCTCTCCTAGGCTCTTGAATTGATTCAGGGGAAATCTATTTGCAATCAAAATTGTAGATTTGCTCCTAGTTTCAGAGAGAATGATCTCCTATCTGAATACGAACTAATACAAACTGAGATTATGAAGTGGACGTTTTTTATTCCCACATATTTAAGAGTTAAGGTAAGTTAAGACTATAATCTACACTGTGGATGGTCCAGTGAAGGGCAGGAACTTTGTTTCAGAAAACAAAACTTAGGAACCACAAAGCTTCTACTGTTGAGGCCATATACGGCCTATGTGTCATCATTTTAGGAGGATACATTATGCTTTTTGCCCCTTTTGTGGATTTAGAGGCTACAGTGCAGTATCTGTCCCTCCATGAACCAGCTTGCAAAGAAGTCTGAACTCCTGTGTCTCCAGCCATCAGGAGCTCCACTGTGTAAACAAGGTGAGATTGATGTAATCACTGACTACCACTTAGATGATTGTAACTAAATTAAATCTAGTAATTATCATTGGTATTAACATTAAAGCAGACATTTCCTTGGACCAAATGGCTGTTTATACCAGAATTGATCCAGAATTAGCCAGTGGAACAAGGAAATAAAACCTCCATACACCACTATCATGCTTTACTAGACCATACTTTCATGAGGCTGTTCTTTCATTATTTTCATTCCTAATAATTTGAAATAATTGTTTCTTTTGCCCAATTTAAGGCAAACTTCCAAAATTCACTGTCAGCATGTCTCAATTTTCCTCCAAATCCTCTATAGTTGATCAAAGGTTTTGGAAACTTCCTATTTGTCTGATTTCCTTAATCAAAGGAATATAGCTTACACTGTATAGCCTAGACAGCATCTCTTACATGTTTTTCATATTAATAAGAAATGTGTTGCTACAGATTTCTCCATGAAGAACTCAAGCAGCACTGCTATAAATGCTCACCGAATAGCTTACTTTTGATTACCCTTAGGAATCTTGATCAAAAAACAAATATATACTCAAAGTACTAAAACAGTTAAAAATTATTTTTGTGACAGTGACTTCAAAATGGCTGGGAAATGTATTTATATTGTTCAAGCAAGACATACAAATGATAAATCTGCACATGCAGTTGCTAAAAGATTTCTTGAACTTTTCTTCCCTGAAGACTTTTACAGCTTTAGATTTTTTTAAACAGTATTGGGATTGTACAGAGTTTCAGCTGATGTCTTTTAACCCTGTGCACATTCTTTAACTTAGAGCCAAAGGAAAACTGTCCAGCAAAAACAGTCTTAAAAACTACTCCCCCATCATTCTTAAAGACACACCCACCTTTGTGTTCTGTGACATTAGCCACTACCTCTAAAACTTTCACAAGGGTAAACCTGACTGGAAAGATAAGATCTTTATCAAACCCACTGGGTGAAATCTGAGTCATGACAAGACTGTAACACAAAGTCAAGGGCAAGAAACCACTTTTCCTAACCCCTTCTGGTATGTGTAATTTACTTCATGGCCCTCTGTCCTGTAGATATACCTAATTATCAGGCATTTGCTTATTATGAAGAATTTCTCTTCACATGCAAGCATTTTGGTCTTCATTAGTTTGAGGGCAGAGAATAAACACTAGCTAAGGAGTCCCCATATTAAAAACAAAAGTCTTTGTTGCTATAATAAGTCATAATAGCTACTACAAATAATTTATAAAAAGCAATGGCCAAGAGATTTCAGTATTACTTTCCTATGATAAGCTAAAAGGAGTGCCGTAATAATCATGTTGAATCTTTCCAAGGAATCATGCTTTTTAAAGAGTCCATAGTTAGTGAATAATCGCTGACCATAAAATTACTTTCTCATCTAACCCGATAAACCATATTACTTAGAAAATATAAGTATTTTGTCAAATATTTCCTAGCTGTCAAAGTCAGTTTAACATTATATCCTGATGACAGGATACCCTTCTTATATTTTTCATGTATAATTCTCTCATTATAGTCATGTTATCCTAACTTATTTTGTTAAGAATCACTATGATTTCTATAAGATTTTCATATATGAACAAAATTAAAAGCTTTTCCATTATTGATTAGGATCATATGTGATAAGTGACCTCAACCATTCTTTTTAGAGATTTAAAGACAAATCTAAATAAGCATCAGCATCTTTCGAAAGGATGCCTCAGGGAGTAGGAAAAAAATATTTTTTCCCAGTAGCAAGAGAGGGAGCAGTGGGTGGGAGATAAGGGCGTTGGGTTTCCAGGACTGCTAACAGACGGAGCGCAGGTCCTCGCGGCTCCTCCCCGCGCCCTCCTCCCGCCCGTGACGGTGAGGATGCGGCCGGGCAGGGCCCACCGTACCTTCATGGGTAGGCTCTGGGTCGGGGGTGAGCGAGATGTCATCCAGCTCTCGGAGGCAGAGCCACTCCCCGTCCATGGACACCCGGAACTTGCACAAGTAGATGGTCTCCATGGCAGCCTGTGTGATCTTGTCGGTGGTGGGGGTGGGCATGTCAGTCGGCGGCGTCAGGGCAGACATGATGACTCAGCCGGGATCTCTCTCACACACGCACACCCCGCAAAAATAAGACAGGTCTCCTCACAAACCCCCAACCCAAAGCTCCGAAACAAAGCTTTCAGGAAAAGGCGTGGAATGGATTAAAAAAAAAAAAAAACACCAAGGTTCTTACAGTTTAAGAACCAGCTTCAAGATAAACAATTCTGCACGATCTTCTTATAAACGAGTCCTACCACATATCAAATAGGACGACTCTATAGTTTCCTCCCAGCTTCCTCGCCTTTTATCTTCCCTTCCTTACGCTTTTTCCTCAGCTGAGCTATAGGCTTTGAATGCTGCCGGGCCGATGCTCCCTTTGCTGCTTTAAACACTAGCCTCAGCATGAATAAGTGGAAAAGCCTTCTTTGTGCAGCAAAATAATTCCTCAAAAAATGAACGAAAAATAAACCTATATTTTCAACTTAGCATACAAAAAAAAAAACAGTCCTGAACCGCAGATAGCACTTCCAGGATGCGCTCGGACCAGCCAGGATGCTGAGGGCTCGCAGGGCGGGCCAAGGCGGGCAGGGTGGTGACCAAGATGGCTGACGGTGGGCGGGGCCGGCGCCGGCACACGTGACCGCGGCTCGACAGGCCGCTGCTCCCAGGGTGCTCCACGGGCGCCGCGGGAGGACAGAGACCAGTCCACGCACGCAAGGCCCACCACACGGCCCTCGGCCCCGCCCCACACACGGCCCTCGGCCCCGCCCCCACCCTCTGCACGGCCCACCCCACAAGGGCCACCAGACGGCCCTCGGCCCCCCAGACGGCCCCCGGACCCCCCACCCCACGCGGCCCTCCGCCTTTAGACCCGGCTCAGAGCTGACAGCTCTGGTCCCCTTCTCTCTCCTGGGGATGCGCGGGGTGATAGCAGGAGGGTACTAATTCCGGATGGTACTCCACAGCAAAGGTGGCAACAGAGGCAGTTAGAAGTTAATTTGACTTTTATCCTTATCTACACAGCTATTAAACTTCTTTAATATGCTAAAGGTGGTGTTTTAAGAAAAGCTAAGGTGGATGTTCAGTTTAAATATCTTACTCTCAGGCATTTATAATATCCTTCTCTAGGAACTTTTTTTTTTTAGGCTAGGCAGAAATGCAAGAAAAAAACTTTAAGTTAAAAAAGTAAAATCATGGTCCGGCGCGGTGGCCCAAGCCCTAACCCCAGCACCGGGGTGGCCCAGGAGGGTGGACTGCCTGAGCTCAATAGTGTGGGGCCGGCGTGAGTGAAAGGGGCGACCCTGTCTCCAGTAAAAACCGAGGCAAGAGGATCCCTTGAGCCCGAGTTGGAGCTGTGAGCTATGTCGCCACAGCACTCCACCCAGGGTGACAGCTTGAGATTCTCAAAAAAAAAAAAAAAAAAA